TTCAGCAGGTTGAGGGACAAGGATGAATATCTCTGGCAAACCTCTGTGCTCTTGGCAGCCACGGCTCTTCAGGGAGCCGCACCTTGCCCACAGGTGTGCCTCCCTGCATTTCGTGTCCCCGCCGATCTCTGAACCGCAGGATCCCTTACCTGCTTCCCGTGCATTTTGGCACTGCCCGTGACTCTCCAGAACTACAAAATCAAAGCTGGAGACTGTTTACTCCAACTCAAGGCTGTCTGCTCAACTAACCTTTAGCTGGATTCTTGATCCTCATTCCCAGTTGCAATCCATATAAATCACTGTCCTCTATTTGATTGAGAGGCCTGAAACAAAGCCCCAAGCCCCAAAGCCTGGACAGTCCGAAATACACAGCTGGTGCTGCACTGGGTCACGCACAAACCTCCCATTCAGGTCCTGTTTCTTCCTGGGCTCAGGCAGTTGGTTTGTCTTTTCTCCTTTGCTTTCTCCACTACCAGAAACGTGTTACTCCGCGCTGCTTTGGGGGGGGTTTGCAACTGCGGCGTTTCTGGCAGTGACGTGGTATTGTGGTATTTCTGGTAGTGACGGTCTCCTCTGCTAGGATTAGGTCGCTTCCTATTGCTTTTGAGTAAACCGAGGTCGGCATTATTCAGTGCATTCAAAACTGGCCCAATTTAAGCCGACTTTGAAGAGGCAAGTCAGGTTTTCCATGCCTCCTCTTCCTTTCCTTGCTTTGCCCCTACTCTTTCGCCACTGTCCGCAGCTGCATTGCGAGATATATTCCGTCTCCACTAGTTCCCACTTCCCCATTCTCCTGGCACAATATTCTCCTCATTAAATCTTCCCCCCTCTCCATACTGAAGTCTGCAGGGGGCAGAATAGCCGACAGGACCACTCTGTCGCCCTCGGGGTCCTATTCTCTCCCCTGTCGGCAGTGGGAGGAAGGACAGCCTAGTGGCTAGGACAGCAGCACAGGATGAAATCATTTTGATTGAGGGATGCTCAAATGTGGGGTAACATGACCCTTAGGAAAGGGAGGAAGATTTGGCCTTGTATTACTTACACCCAGCCTTGCAGCACACAAAGAAAGAAAGCGTGTTTGAAATCGGTTTTCCACGGTTTGTCTCTCTCTCTGCATTTTGCTCAGGGAGGAGATGCCGTTTCTAATCCAGTTCATTTTCTGGTTATAACGTGTTTGAACACTGCTGTGCTGTCCTGGGTATTCAGCCCTGCAGGGGGAACATTTGGGTCCACCCAGACTTTGGGTTGCAGTTAAAAGAAACTTGTGGAAGCATTTCAATTCCTTGCAGACTCTGTCACGTCCACGGCTGACCTATGCTACGGTTCTTAATATAGACCGCGTCCTATGAAGTGCAAAGGGAGGGCGCTAAGAGAGCACAGCCGATCAAAGCTTCGCAGCTAGGGCAGATGGCCAGAATACCAAACGAGGGCTTTCAGGACAAGGTGGCTCGTGACTCGAGGCACATCTGCCATAAGCAGCAGGCATGAGCTGACTGATGTCCGTGCATGGTGCGCCTGTTCTGCGGGCAAGCAAAGCAGATGTAAGAGCATGGCTGAAGAGCGCGGCCTCCCGCAGGAACCTGACACTGGTTAGGGCTTCACGAAGCAAAAGACACACCGAGCAACGACCTGACATCACATTTTCAAGTGCAAGTTGTGAGCAGAGAGAATCGTCCCGGTTCTTTTGTTAGCACGATAACAGCCACGGGAAGGAGTTAGGCTGCGAGCTACAGCGCTGCGAGGAAGGACTGGGCAGCGCAGGTAAGACTTGGAAAGAGAAGGCAAGTTATCGCCAATAGTCAGCGGTTTGCTTCCCAGCGCAAACGGGTTTTTTTGAAAGTCCATCTAAAAAAAGTAAAAGGCAGCGAATTTCAAAGCGGGGCTTGTGTTTCTATCTGCGGAGATCAGTTTTTGTGAACCTTTCTAACTAGCTAGGAAGAAAACAATACATTTAGGCAAACTCTGGTTCTGGGGAAAAGAGCATACGGCAGAGCTTTTGATACCATGGTGGTGAGTGGCAGGACACCCAAGATTATCAGCGGACACGACCAGTTCAGATTTGAGCCCCTGGCTAGTGGCCAGCGGCCTAGGCCTAGCAAGCACAACTTAGAAGCAATTAAATCACATCAAATTCATTCATACTTTAAAATAAGCTTTATTTAGATCTTTTATATTTTTATATTTGCATCCATGCCTTCAAGGAATCTCCCCCACTCACGTGGGAAAAGTTAAATCTAATGTTACCCATAATTCATATGCTATTTATTGTAGTTCTCTTTTAAATAAATGATCCTCTTAGTAACTTTAGAATTATTTCCTAATTTACAAAAGCTGAAATGGAAAGGAGACTACGAAATAACCAGGAGTTGGCTTGGTTTGTTGTTGTTTTTCTTTTTTAAATTATAAAAACACAATGAAAGGAAAAAAAAAAAAAAAGATGTATAAAAATGTTCCTCTGCAGAGAAAGACCCACAGGGCAGTTTCTCCCCAACCCCTCAATTTGAACAGATCCCTTTGCAAAGCAGTGCAGATATTTAAAACCCACTTTCCCTAACCCCCTGTGGTTTCTCCGCATCATCATGTTAGAAAGTAATGTAGCACGGTGGTATTTTTTGTTTTTTAGTTTTGTAATTTAAGACAAAATATCCCTTTCAAACAGGGTGCACTTATCAGAATTAAAAATAATACACTATAGCATTATTAAATAATCTTATTACATTTTTAAGAGCTTAAAATGATATTGCAAGCATTAAAGCACAAGGTACTGTATTCTGTAGTCAGCAAATAGCTGTGCATGTTAAAGGAAAGGGGAAATTGCAGTTAAAAATCACAGGGGAAGATTTTCAAAGAAGCCTAATGGATTTAGGAACACAAGTGCAATTTAAGATCAATGCGGCTTGTGCTCTTGGAGGGGTGGGGTGGGGGATCTTCCTCTACGTTAACTGGCATTTAGAAGAGAATGAGCAGACCTTGATTTAAGAAGCAACTGAATCAAACTGCCTGGACTTTCCAAATGCGCATCTGTTTGTTCATGAAGCAGAGTTAGGAGGAAACAATGCCCAAAATAAGTGTTTACGAGATGCTACTGCCAGCTTTGCTTACCTGGGTTCCCAAAGCTATTAAACTGCTGCAGTGCGGGATGAATGGTAGGCCGAGATCAGACCCACAACAGGTTTTATACAAACAACATAAATGTCACAGACCTGAATTAACAACGTTTGATACAGAACAAGAGTTCCAGTGTCGCTAAGTGCCTGATCTAATACTATTTCCTGATCCTGATAATCACTTACTCATTCCCTTCCTTCCCCACACGTTTCTTTGCTCAGATGCAGCAAAGCACATGCTTAGTTTTAAGCAGGTGCTCAAGTCATTTCCCACAGGACTTAAGCACATTGCTGCATAGAGATGAATGGGGCTTGGCTTCCTTAGAAAACCTTTATCGCCCTCTGTCTTGCTACCAAACAAAATGAACGCTGTAAAGAGGAAAAGCTGAAGACACAAAAGGAAAAGCAATTGGTGTTTCTGCAAACAGAAAATACAAAAGCAAAGGCCAGCGCGTTCCAAATCCATGCAGTACTGAGAGTTCCTGTCTCTTTTTGGACCTGCTTTGCAATCTGCCTTTTCCCTGTGCATTATTTCGCGATAAGCATCTATTCTCCAATACAGGAAGCAGTTTTACAGTTTAGATAAAGGTATTTACAGCTATCTGATTGCGTTTATCCTTCCACAATAGTGATCCCAGTCCCCGATCTTGCTGTCAGGGCAGACTGCAGGACCGAGGAGCGTACAAAACATGCAAGCACGAGAGAGAAATACAAAAGAAATTCATTTAGAAAAAAAGAAAAATCACAAAGTCAGAATGAGAAGAACTGATGTTCTCCGGGATTCAGTCCAACCACCTTTAGCTCTGCAGGCATCAAATACTAGGCAGCAGCTTAATATAGAACAGTACAGTATAAACTCGCCCTCCTCCTCCCCACCCATCCCAACCACTGTGGAAAAATATAAATCCCAATATCTACGTAATAATTTAGTTAGAATAGCTCTTCTGAATTTGTGCAAATAAATTAAACAATAAAAAGGAAAACTAAACAATTATTCCAGTCTGGCAGGCATTAGAGAGAGCCCATGTTGCCTCCTAAGGTTTTGGCCAGGAAGACATCATCTCGAGTGAGATTTTGAGGTCTTACTAGATAGATAGGCAGAGCCTAACATTTTTGTCGGCTAGGTAACTCAGGTGCACCCTGTGAATAGGATACTGTCCCCTCCAACACCCAACTCTGAGAACATACCAGATACAGAATGCACCGACGGGATGGGCTCAAGGAAACAGCGTTTTTGGACAAGAGACGTCACAAGCACAAAGTGCACAATAGTTTTGTTATTTACAAGTACACAGCAGTCCTTCAAGTTTCAAGTTTCGTAAAAAGAAGAAAAATAATCCAAAAAAAAAAAAGAAAAAAAAAGAAAAAAAAAAAAGAGAGAGAGAGAGAGAGAGAGAGAGAGAAACAAAGGGAGAGGATTACAACACGACTGCATCGCTCCAAAGACAACAGTTAACATATTCACACACAGGTTTTTGTTTGTAGTATGTACATCAGTTACAGAAGTGGCGACGCAGAGGAAAAGGCTCAACTTTCTTTTGAGTTAGACGCACCCGCACACAGACACACATCCACGCCCACGCACGCACACTGGCAGCAGAGGGAGGCAAGCTACCAGCTCGGGGGGTCACCAGTCTGCATCCTCCTCTATGTAATAATCGGGAGCAGTACCATCAAAGAGGCCTGGGTCTAGGGACTTCCGCTGCTTCCCTCTGGCAAATACCCTTGAGATGGAGCCAAATCCCATTTTCTCTTTCTTCTTTTTCCTTTTTTGGTCTTCGAGGTCCTCTAGAGACTGAGGGAGGGGTGGCGGGGGGGAAAAAAAAAGGAGGAGGGGAAATAACATGAGCATCTCTAGCATTCACATGTATGGAGAGAAGCTGCTCGGATGCTAAGTAGGCTGAACGAGCGCGTTGGGAGCGGCTGAAACGATGAAGACCGCTAGGGGACTTGGCTACTAATATTTCATGGAAGGAGCCCGCAGTGATGTGCCCAGCGCGCTAAAACTCTTAAGAAAGCTCACGAAGGGAGCGGGAAGCCTACGGACAGCCGCATTCCTTAGGTGGCGTTAAAAACCGCAGCTTCGGTAAGGAGGACAGAGAGAAAAGGGTCCATGTTTGGAAGCTGCCATTAATATCTTCATAACTTTGTGGAAAGGCATCAGGGACCAGTAAATCCCAGAACCAAGGTGAGGGACGGGATCCTGCACCAATGACCCCCTTCCTTCTATAGGACAGCAACCACCCCGAGCACAATATGGGAAATGGGGTCTGACCCTGCTCTCGCTACAAAGCAATCCGCCGACTTCAGGGTGACCGGGGGGAGCTTCAACAGAAGGCTGCTGCGGGTGGACATTGGGAGAGTAGGTGTGCAGGGAGCAATCTTCAGGACACTGTGCCAAGTGCTTGTCTTCCCTAAAGTCACGTGCATCGTTTTCTGCACGAACACCCCCACCCCCATGCACGGGTACAGAGCTTGGCCGAGTCTGCTCGCTGCGCTCCATCCCAGGATGCACCGTGTCCTTGATGTGCTCGAACCACCTCGTCCCCCCTCCACCCTCAGCACCACCAACCTGGACATGCAGCAGCAAAGCCATTCCAGGGGTGCTCTTCAGCTGTTTGAAGCATTAGCCAGTATAACCCTTGCTTGAGGCCAGGCCGCTTCTCTCTCAATAGCATTGGTGCAAATTTCCTTAACGTAAAAAATAGCTGAGGTTCCTTTGTTACCTGCTTTCTGCACCCGATTGATTCCCTGAGTCTTGAGAGCGCTAGGAGAGTTCCTCTTCCTTCCGAACCTACTCACTAAACTCAGAGGCATCGTGGACGGGGGTGCAAATAAGAGCGACTCAGACTCCCTTAGACTCGCACCCAGCTACACATAGGCCAGGGGGACTAAGCTGGTGTCAGACCTGGGAAGGCGCTGGCAGGAAGTGCAAGGTCCCTACAGCTCCTTCCCTCCCTCATCAGATGCGATTCCCTACGCCTGTCGGGTCTGGCCGTGTCCATTACATTTTCTAGATGTGATGACTGCTTAAAATCTTTCTCCGTCACCTCTGCTAGATACGGGTCTGAGTCAACATTTGGATCTGGAGTCAAAGCTCTGGGAATCCGGTGGGTTTGATTCAGGCCAGTTTCCAACAGGGAGAGAGATGCTCTCTCTGTCTGAATTGTGTGGTCTGTATCTTTTCTTGCCAGCATCCTATAAAGCACTTCACAGCTGATGCTAATAAACTGTATTACATTAGCAGGTTGGTTGAGAAAGGGAACTGGTTTCCTACCTGTACAATTGGGTTGTGCAAGTTCTTCTGTACCGGTCCAGGACTATCCCCCTACCAGTAGAAGGAGACAGATCAAATTGAAACAGCAGAAAGACAGCTCTGGGTTACCCTACAGCTAAAGCAAAAGCAGTCTGTGGATGCAAGTATAGAGCCAGAAGCATTCTCTGCGGAAATCCTGTTAACATGCAGGCTTCGTGGTGTTAGCCCATGCAAAAGCATCACCGTTTAACAGACACCGATTATTTGGGGAATGGGAAACAGGACTTTTGAACAGGGAGGAACATATTAAGGCAGGTAAAACTCTCTTATTCTCTGTTACTCTGATGACTTCAGTGTATGTGGCTAATCAAGAAGGAAGTTCTTCCATGGCTTCAGAAAAGTAAAAAAAAAAATAAAAATAAGATGGATGACTCAGATGGGATAAAATAAGAATCCTTGAAACTTTCCTCCCCATCCCTAAATTGAATTGAGCAAAACTCTCTTGGATCCAAAAAAGACAGATCAATCAAACCCTTTCTTCGTGTTACAGCTATGTCTCTTGAGACTTTACCGCATTTTTGCAAGCCAGAAAGGCTCTGAGAGGCACCCGAACTTTGGGGAGCTTGTCAAAGCTCAGCCATACCTTCCCAACCCCTCTCACTAACAAAAACAAGAGATTTGGGCTAACCAAGATACTTTAATCCAGGTCCCGTTCCCCTTAGAGCAGTGGTTCTTAACCTTGTTGAACTCGAGGAAGCCCTTGCTTTCACTCCTTTCTTGATTAAAGAAAAATAATAGGGTCAGTTCTTCTGTTGCAAAGAACTCAGAAGACCACGAGTGGGTAGAAAGTTTTTGACACGAGAGATTCCCATATGAAACCTCTGGGTTTATCTTGTGAATCATGTGTAGGTGTCTGCACCCCATCAGTGCTAATGTTACACAGCACCTGTAAAAAGATCTTGTGGCACCCTGCCTTAGGCTAACAGATCAAGAAGGGGAGGAAAGACTGACCTGGAACCACACTATGCATGCTGTTCCCAATTGATCTGCTTCTCCCTTTTAATACAAGGATCACCACGGGCTGATTGAGGGGATGCCCCAGATTGTCCCACTAATTCATGCCAGATCATTCATTGGCACTTATTGCACATCGATAAGTGGGTGTGAGGGAGCAGACATCTCTGAAGCATGCAAGCCTGGTGACCAGAAGAAAGTAGGGTGCAGGGATTGAAATAAAGCAAGAAGAACCTCTTAGTTCCCAGCTACAATTTTCTCTTTTGGCCCTGTCAGCATGTACCTATCAAGGTATACTCCTTCAGACTAACTCCGCTCCACTATACCGTCTTAGCGGGTGATGCCTTCTCAACGTGACCTGCCATCCCTAGAGTATGTTGCAGTGACTGCTAGAGATCCCAGAAGTAATCGGCTACGCAGAACTGCTTCTGGAAAGCCCAAAAGCTCGTGGTTCAGCTTCTCTCACAAATCAATAGTGGATTGTGATTGCTGGTATGGCACTCTCAGGGTTTTGTGGGTTAGTGGGAAGTGACCCCATTGTCAGGATTGCTCCAAGGAACTGGGAAGATGCCAATAGTTCACTGCAACGCGGAAGCCCCAGTTTATTACTAAGCAAACCTGCAAAGCCAGGAAAGCTCCCGTTGGGCTGAATGTGTAATGTGTATGAGCCTGGTATGGAAAACGTGCGAGGAGACAACACAAGTGCACACAGACTTGCAAACAGGAGAAGCTCCAAGCCTGACTGCTGCAAGTATAAAGGCCGTGCAAATTTAATCAGTGCAAGTTAGTCCTAGGAGGATCCCTGGCATGGAGATCTGGGGTCTCCTTACTGTACTGCTGATGAAAGGATCAGAGAGTTTGAGCTACTGCGGTGGCTGTCGGAAAGGTCAACTCCTGCCGTGGTTAGACTGACACTACCCGCTTGTTCCACACAGGTCACTCGGACACTATTAGATGGAGCCTCACAGATGTGGCAGGGGCTTTAACCAGCAAAGCGACAGCTCAGGGGTCTGTTATCAGTCTCCCGAGCTACGAGCCTGTCTGGCCTGTTCTCCAGTCTCCCCCAGCTGTCTCTCTTCCCATTAAGTTGCACAACTGCCTGCAGGGGCTGGAACTTGTTCACTGACTCCCAGATCTTCACCTTAGTCAGCATGCGCTGCAAGGCTTTTTTATCTGGCAGAAACTCATTCACCTGATCCTTTGCCCAGAATCAAATTACATTTATCTGCATCTACTAGCCATGCTATCTTAATTATTCGCAGTAGAAATCCCTCTCTATCTGATTGCAGTGCTTCTGGGTATCTCCTGCACCTTGCAATTTATTTTCTCGTCTAGTTTCAAACACTCTCTGCCATACCTTAGCTCCAGCCATTTACATTCATGCTGTCACTACAAGGATGGAAGAGATGCTCGTCTTCTCTTTGCTTGCTCACCTATACAGAAAGCTTCCAGTCTCAGGCTGGAGGCTCCTGTCCTCCCCACCCCCACCTCTTCTCCCATATTAACAAAGAAATCAAATGCAAAGGGCCCATTTCTACTCTTAATTGGACTATTATAAACCAAGATGAACCTCCTTGATGGAATTAGTGTGGATTCATACCAGCCCAGTAGAGAACAGTGTGTGTTGGGTCATGTCAGAGCGCATAACCTGCGCCCTCATCATACTGTCAACTAATGCAGATTTGCTTGGAAGCTCACCCCATACAGTCCTGTGTTTTGGAAGAGGAAGCTGCTGTGCTCTGTCCCGACTGCAGTGTGTGGTGTGGCCAGCGACTCTAGCTAGTTTACCCATGATATTTTAGTTCGTGTTTTCATTTTGGCTCATGCGGGTTCACAGCTCTGAAGCTTCACTCAGTCCACCTTGAAAGCTCAAAGTGAATCTGATGAAATGGCTGAATCTGGGTTGCTTTTTGGGTCGTGGGCCACAGGGAGAAGTTTCAAAGCTCCTCTACTTTCTCAAACAAAACTGGAAAAGATCTGCTCGGAGTTTGAGGGAAAAAAGAGCTTTGCTAAAGTCCTGATCCAAGTCCCAACTCAAAGTCCAAGTCTTCTGTTTTGAAGCAGAAAACTCAATATTTTCACATTTTCACTTTGCTGGAAATCAGTGTGTCCCACTGGAGATCAGTGAGATCCCAGATGTCTTGCAGCAAAACCCACACTTCCTCAAAAACCTGTTGACAACTGGCATTTCTGTGCTGCAATAAAATGTCCTGGAACAAGCTTGCGCTCGTTTTTCAGGACGTTGCAGAGAAATAGATGGGTCCTATTTTGGAAGAGCTCTTGAAAAGGAGGAACCTGTTTCCCGCTGCCTTGTATTGTGAATGGTCAAGTCTAGCACGCAAAGTCAATGCAAACCTTGCTCAAATTGGAACAACAGCCATCTTCACTTGCTTTACAGGCGAGAAGCCGGGGGGCAGAGAACGGGGCCCTTTGCTGCTTGGTATTTGGGCAGTTCTAAGTCCCGTTCAAATGCACAGTATGAGCAGTATGAATGGTCAGATCCAAAGCCGAGTGAAGTCAATGGGAATCTCTGCCTTGTCATCACTGGTCTTTGGATCAGATCCTACAAGAAGAGGTGACTCAAGACAAGCAGGTAAGAGTGCCGGCTAAAGGAAGCAATGCTGGTGCAGATGTTAAGATGACAGCTACGGGAGTGACAAATGACCTTCACAACCGCCTTACATTGCACAGGGAATGCGTTCGATGTCGAGGGGAGTTGATGTCACTTGGCGTGGACGACCTGTCGCCTTCTGCTGCTGACGCGTCAGAGATTATGGAAGGCTGCCGTGAATGACAAGGACTCACTCTGACAGCTGAAAGGCAAGGAACAGAGTCGGGTGTCAGTGGAATTTGTATTTCCATCACAAAAAACCTCCCTGCAAGGGGCTTTGCTTTAATTTGGAGACTAGATCTCATCAGCCGCTTTCCACCAGGAAGGTGCCTCGCACAGTAGTTAGGGACGAGGATGTGAGCTCAAATATAGATTTGATATGTACGTCCCGTCATATTTATTCAAATCACTCTACAGTGTTTTCTGTCTGCCTTTGGCTCTTTCCACTGCGGTACCTCTGCAAGGACAGTTGCTACCTGGGATGCTGGATGAAAACTGTGCATCACAGCATGAATGCCACAGGCCTGCTCTCCTGCTCCTGCCTTCTAGAGCAGTGCAGCCCAAACTCTTCCTCAGCATGACCCCTCACTCCCGACCCACCCCTGTCACCCCATCCACTGATGTTGTGACCCCATCTGGGGTCACAACCTACAGTTTGGGAATCGCTGTTCTAGAGGGACACCTGGGAGAGCAGGATTGAACTTGTGGTACACTGACTTCAGAAACTTGGATTCATTTCCCAGCTCTGCTATCATCTCCCTGTGTGACCCCGGAGCATGAAAAGCATACTATGACCTTCTTCAGTGGTTAAAGTATCACTGTGATCGCTCTGTGTACTACCTACAGCAGACGGGTAGAAAGCCCTGGGATGTCAGGGCAGCTTGTTTTAGTAGGAGTTCGTAGTTCTTGGGAAAAAGTAGCGTGTGCCTGAGGGGCTGTGATCTCATCAAGGACTAATAACAGGTCCCCCCTTCAATGCTCTTCATCTTTGGTGATAAACTGCGGCATGCAGAGCAATCCATGGATTTACAGATGAGAAGGAGTCACTACAAACGTGTGCCCTCACGTATGTCCACGATCGTTGGCACCTTCTACAGTGCAGATGCTGGTTCAGTATGCAAGCCAAAGCCAACATTTTCTGAAGCCATCAGTAAATCTGCGCACTTTGGTTTTTGGAGGTCCATCTGGAAAGGGGGCTGCAATTCCCCAGAAGTGAGGTGCTCAGTGCCTTCTAAGCATCAGACCCTGTAAAGCATCCAAGCTCACCAGTCACTTTAAAAATTGAAGGCAGGTCATTCAATAAACAAGACCATCTGCCCCGGAGCGCCTTGCTCACTGCATGGTCGTGGATGCTTAACTTCAGGGTGCTGATTAAGTGCGGGCGATTGGATTTCTTTAGTTTTCACATCACCTGGCAGGGGAGGGGACATGCACATACAGATTCACTGAGCAGAAGGTTTCACACTGTGCTTGCAGTCTCCATCACAGGGACAGTCGGTAGCCGAACTGAGACCACGAGGGAGCTGCCTCAGCTTCGCCTCTGCTTAAGCCACCGCTCCGAGATGTCCCCGAAGCGTCTGCTCTTCTGCAGTATGCTCTTTAATGTTGGCATCGTGCTCTTTGCCAAAAAGGACCAAGGAAAACGCTCTAGTCCTTTGTGTACCACAGGCTGATCTGCAGGTGCAGCTGGCCTTTAAGCATCAGCAGCTGCTCAGGGGCACTGGGGTCTCGAAGGGGGACAGGGAACATACAGATGCAGCATACTAATGGCAGCGCCTACGAGGATTAACGGAGTGAGGTGGCTGTGCTGGATTTCCAGCCCTGGGACTGGGAGCTGGCCGTGCTCTCACCGCTCTGAAAACCTACTGAATGTCTTGTGGCGCAGACTTCCAATCTGGGAACCACAGATCTGCACACCTGATCTGCACCCGGTCCACGGAGTTACGCACCTTGCTCCCTGGCAGCTGCTGCTACATGCATTTCAAACTGGCCTGTATCCAAACACGGGCTACATCTTTGCATATGGAAGACAAAAGGGCTTGAGGTCCTTCATCACTTACCATATGCTCTGCAGCTCCTCTGCACCGGGTAAGTGGGCAGAGCGGTCGGTGACGGCGGGGCACTTAGCATTGGCAGCGAGAGTCAGAAAAGCCCGACTTCTGGTGCCGAAGAGGGGATGTGTCTCTAGAACCAGACAAAGCTAACCGCACAGCGACTTTCCCTCACGGAGGGCAGCGGGGCATTTGTGTAAAGCAATGCAATTGAATTTGTTTTGGCCTGAGTTCGGTTGCGTGGGGAAAAGGCTTCCTCAGAGCCAGTATCGACAGAAACATTTACAAGCATAACTGATTTTTCTTTTTTAAAAATGCAGATGTTCCCTTGCGGCTCTGGGGAAGCAAACCCAACAAAACTGGGCTGCGGCAAGAGAGAGCGACTCGCTAGACTGACATCACTTCCAGCGCAGGACAAATGTAATCTGTTCATAATTTGTGCTGATATTTGTAAAATGTGGGGGGAGATGTTTTTTGTCTTCATCTTGTCCCTTTACAAACTGCTCCCCCCAGAAGTCTGCAACCCACCGGCTGTGCAAAGCGTCCAAGCACTGACGTGGCTGCAAGTGTCTTTTCTGGAATTTATTACACACAAGACGGTCTCCCACTAAGTCGCTGGCTTCTCCTATTCTTAATGCGCTTTGTGGTGGCTTCCCATTCCAGCTCAGTGCCCAGCATGCTGCTAAATAACTAGGGACTGTAATGACAACTCCAATATTCACTTTCCTTTCCGTCTCCTTGGGGATCCCGTGAGCTTGGCAACATCCATCTGTATTAGGTTGCATGACAGCGTTGTAATAAAAAAAGAAACCCTGGCCAATGGTTAAAGCACAGCAGTGGCAATGAGCAGATCTGCGCAGTACATGGAGACTGGTCAAGTGATCAGAGGCCAGGTGTTTCATGTTTGTGCCTCTGTTACTCCACAGCAATATTTACTGCCAACGGGCGACAGAGAAGCCAAGGTCTGTAAAGCACTTTGAGATCCCTGGAGTAAAAGTGCCGGCAAACACCATATTTTTAAGTTATAACTATCATTATGGGGTCCTTGCTGGCCCATCCAGGCATTATCTTTACACAAGACAGAGAGCCTGATGTTGAGAAAACGCCACTAACCCCCTTCTGCTCTGTAAACTGCTATATCTCTTGGAATCACGCACTTGAACAGAGCAGCCACGTCCCGACTCGAACTGGACGGCTGTTTCACCGGGTTGTGATGCTACAGGGCAGCGGTTTAGGGAGGCCTCACGCGCAGCAGCATTTGGGAGAAGACTGGTATAGCCAGCAGTCAAGACAGAGGGTCTGCATCCGATAAAGCTGCTGCTTGATCACTTGGAGCCATTTCTGAAGACCTGAGGAGACTCCTGGATGCAGCATGGCTGCTGGAAAGGTCAGGATAGCTCGTACAGCACAGCCCCTGTCCTCTGGCACTGTCGGAAACAACCGCAGTAACCCACAAACCTGCAGTGTGATGCCACAAGCTGGTGGCAGCCCCGCCGGATCCAGCCCTGACACTACTAATGCGCTTTGCTGTGTGTGGGGTCAGAGGTAGCAGGGTGCGAGTGCTGTTCAGCTGGAGCATCAATTCCTTTTTACTAACCACCCTCCCCAAACAGAGTGGGAAGTGCTGCAGGACTAAAGGAGACTACCATAGATACCTCTGACGTGAGCTCACAGGAGAGCATGGGCAGTGGAAAATGGGACTGGGTGCTGAGATGGGGAGGTGCGAGAAGACGACTGGGTCAGGGACAGTGTGCGAGTAGCTTGAGACTGAAAAGCTAGAGGGCAGAGCCTCATGTACTCAAGCCAGAGTGCAGAGGCTCCAGAGACAGCAACACTTGTGAAGGTGGCCATTTAAAATTAGACACCCAAATCCATTTAGACTGTAATGCTTCTCCAGGCAGGGTTGGGCTCTACTTATGTGTTTCTAGGATATTTAATATAGCCGGGCCCTGCTGTCAGCTGTGATCCTTTAAATGTTCCTGTAATGCAGATAATGAATAACACATCCAGAGCTTTTAGGTACCCAAATAAGGATCCTTCTTTCCAGAAGTGCTGAGCTCCTGTTGGCTTCATCAGAGGCGCTCAGCCCCTCCAAAAGGCAGGCTGCTTCCTCAGATGCCCAACCGTAAGCATCCAGGTTTGAAAATGCTGGCCCAGCTTCACAGGGAAGCAGGCAGAGAGAGTAGGGAGATTAGCCTCAATTTACTCCTGCCTGCTGCTCTGAAGTAGAGTTAATGCTGCTCCCCGAAGGGGATTAGTTAATCAGGCCACCCAGCTGGCAGAGAGTCAGCAGCTTGAAGGCACAGGGAAAGGTGAGGCTGTACAGAGAGGAGGAGGATACTGCGCAGCGGCCTGGAGTTGACCCGAATCCCCACTCCAAGACCCGGTCAGGGTGCTTACGTGCCGGTCATGGTAAAAGGATGGGAGTGCACTCCAGCTGCAGAGGGTGGAATCAACTACGCTTTTGCTCTCCGATAGCATCCCTTCTCCAAAGACCTGCGTGTGCTTTACCAACGTGCACCTGTAAGCGTTACACAACACACCCCTACGAGAGCAGCATCCCAACTCATGAGTGAGAGATGGGACCTGGGACCAGCCACTATGCACCAGTTTAGGACGGGAGGTAACACAGAGGATGAGATAGCCCTCTGATGCCACAGGGGGATACAGAAAGACATTCAGGGTGAAGCCTGAGCTGGGCTCTAACACCTTGTAATACTTCTACAAGGTTACAGAGGACTTCAGAGACCTTGTGTGGTTACTGGTGCATCCTGGCATTAGCTACACTGGGAACAGTAAACCTTTGGCCCCATGCCTCTGAAAGTGGTAAGGATTTAAACCTATCTGCTATTCTCTCCAGCCACCAGCAGCAGTGACGCCTCCCTCCCTGCTGCAGCAGATGAGTCCAGCCCTTTCCTGGGACCAAGGGGCACCACTCTGAAAAGCATCTTCATCTCCAGGGCAGAAGACACCGCAGGCTTCCTGCGGGCTCGGAGCTCACCTTGTCTGTCGGCGGAGTGCTGGGGATGCGAGTGGTACAGCGTCTGCTGGCTCTGTCGGATAGCGGCCGTGAGCGGGAGGTCCGCCTGCATCACCCACTCCTGGTTCCCGTTTAGCACCGCCTCGCCTGGCATGGCTAACGAATGCCGCTTGGGGACGTCCTTGGTTAACGTGGCTAAGGACTGCTTGGCCTGGTGGAAGAACCGAAACACAGGACCATAAAACAGCTCTCTCAAGACAGCGCTTGGGTTGCAATGAGATCACCACCCCTCCCCACCCAAGAGGGGCTGGCACAAGGCACGTGGGTGACTCGCACCCTCAGATACAGCCTACCTGCTGCTTCGAGTGCCGAACCCTCCCCAGAGACACCCCCTCTCTTTTTTCAAGGCTGATGACTAATCTGCAGGTGGATCTGCCTGCTGCCAGTGCTGCAGTAAGAAGCCCAAACTTGCCAAGGTTTAAGTGCTGGAACAGCTACTCTTCGTATCTGCTCGAATACAGAACAAAACACGAACAGCAGCAGGGAAGCCAGCTTCAACTTTCCCGTAACCTCCTTGTGAAGGGCTTGGGCTAAGGTTAAAGCCAGGACTGGCCGGCTGAAGTCAAGCGCAGGTGGACATAGTAAAGAAAATGAAAGCAGGCACCAAGTGTGTGATTGCCTCAGAGAGAAACCTGCACCAAAAACTGAAACAGATGTTCATCCACATACAGGAGTCCCTGAATTGCACAGCAAGCGGTGCCAGGTTTCATGAAGACAGACGAAGGTACAAAGAAAAAGTCAGCAGCTGGCTTTGGTTCAGATGCGTTAAACAGGCCTGTTTGTTCCTCCGCCGCTCCCAGCAGAGTTAGAAGGGATGTTTCCTCCTGTTTAGTATTTTGCTTTTTTGAAAAATTTAACAGAAGCATCTATAAGGTAAAAAAAAAACCCCACCAAAAAACAATCCTCATTGCAGAAGCCCCTGCCACTTAGCTGCACCTTCTAATTAGCACGCGGATAATCATTTCTGTGATTCACTTGACATTTTATAATGCAGAAAACTTACAGAACATCTCTTGTTTGATTTCAAGTCTTATCAGACTCGCATGGGGTTGTTTTCTGCGGTCGTGTTGAGCACTAATCCTTAAGAGCCTGATGCTGTATTCTGAGCCGTGCAGATAGACCGGCCTGTCTGCACGAAGCACCCCGACTTCACTGGGCCTCTGCCCTGTGCACTGGGGTGCTTCAGATCACAGGATCTGGACCTAAAGCAAGCATGACTGTTGTATTAAACGATGTGTGGTCTTTGCCCTTGTTTTGGAGGCATGCTTAGGGCACACATCAGGTCCTATTGGTAACAAAAAGCTAGCAAGAGTGACCTGTTGCCCGCACCCCTTTCTCAAGGCAGGTTTCCTATAAGCTGATGTGCGATGCCCCGAGTGGCATTTGCTGCAGGCCATCCAACTGAGGAACCAGGGGCTAGGGACAAAGCCCCTCTAGAGTCCAAGTCTGCTTTCCCTGCAGAGTGGGAGTTTGGGACAGATTTCTTTGGGAGCCGGTTTCCCAATGTCTGACCGAGAGATCACTGACGTCCAGAGGCATTGCCCTTGGTCCCAGCTACTTACATCCCAGAGGAGTAAATGTTTACCAGGGGATGTCTTGTGCAGGCAGGGAAGAGATCATGTGAAAAACAACAATTAAAAACCAAGCAGGACTCTCATACACTCTGTTGCCCCATCCCCTGGCCAGTCTGCAGGAACTTTTGTCTAATCTGCTCCAGCAAACTCAGTGTAACGCTAAGGGAAAG